ATTTGTACCAAATTTGATTAGTATTGAAGCATTTTTCATAGTTTCATAGCAGTTTGAACTTGTAACAGGAGGCTTTTCAATGAAAACGGCATTTTTTCACAATATGCTCATGAGGGAAAGGGTTAACTAAAGAAATTAAAAATGTTAAAAAACACCAAAATTAGTAGTCCTATAAATATGACGTCGCTTTGAGATATTTTGGTTCTGGGCAAAGCAACGTCGTCAGGCTTGACCGACATAAACTATAACAAGCCTGTAACGTCTAATATATTGGACTACAAAATTAGGTGAAAGACCACATGTTAACATGGAAAAACTAGATTTAAGGTAATTCCAAAGATTTTCATCTTTTTTTGTTAAACAAGAGAAGTACCCAATAAATGTCCATTCGTAAGAACATCTGTCCGTTCGTTAGCAATTTGGTTTCCGGAGCATAACATAAGTTCCATTTGGTCCACAATATTCAAACTTAATAGGATGATTGTCCATATTGGATGGAAGACCCCTATTGATTTTGGGGTCATAAGGTCAAAGGTCACTATTACCTTTAAACTGTAAACAGTTTCCGGAGCATAACTTAAGTTCCATTTGGCAATCGCAACTACTCGGCCCTTTCCGTCAGTCTTCGGATAAGGTTATTATAGATAATAGCCGAGGCAGTTCCGAATGTTCCATTTGGCCCACAATATTCAAACTTCATAGGATGATTGTCCATATTGGGTAGAAGACCCCTATTGATTTTTGTGTCACAAGTTCAAAGGTCAAGGTCACTATTACCTTTGAATGAAAACAGTTTCCGGAGCATTTAGGCCCACTGTCTTCAAACTTTATAGGATGATTGTCCATATTGGGTAGAAGACCTCTATTGATTTTGGGGTCACAAGGTCAAAAGTCAAGGTCACAATTACCTTAAAACTGAAAACAGTTTCCACTAAATAACTTGACTATTATTCAACCTACAGCTGTAAAATTTTATAGGATGAACAGCCAAGTCAAATACATGACCCTATTGATTTTAGGGTCATAATAAAGGTCAAAGGTCAGGGTCACAATGATCTTTGCTATGAAAATTGTGGTTTTTGGTGCATTACTTAAGTTTCATTTGGCCCACAGTGTTTAAACTTCATAGGATCCCTGTAAACATGCAGTGGTTGGGCCAACCACGGAAAATCGTCATAGGAAAATCGTTGTTGGGCCATGGTTGGCCCAACTCTAATTAACATGTACTATAAATGCAGTTGTTGGCCCAACGTCGAACCAACCATAAGTTAACGCCAGCGACATTTCTGCATTGGCCCAATAACGATAAATATGTACTTTAAAACAGATGTTGGGCCAACGTTTGACCAACGATACATTTTCGTCAAATATATTAATTACTGCACCTGACCCAAAATTTATTTTTTTAAAGACAGATATGCATGTAGATATTTTACTGTATATAAACAGTACACTACAATGAGTAAAGACTAAAGTTTATAATGTTTTTTTGAAGCCATGTTCAATATTGTCACATTCAAGAAATACTCATATAAATTAAATGAGACATGTAAGAAATAATTACCTTTTTAGTCTAGAAATGACCAAAGCCCAGGCTATGCAGTATAGTAGGGGATATGTATCAATATATCTATAGAAATCTTGAAGATCTGATGTATAATCTAAAGCAATTATACATGTGCTGGAATAACCATAATAAACCTCCGGAATCTTCCACTCTGAACTCTAATTAACCTCTGGTTATGTTATCAATGAATGAAAATAGGATCATTTTGGCACTACCCATCCTTTCCCTCGCTTGATTTAGAAGCTGCGTGGACGTGTTTACAGATAGAGCTAAATAAATTTGTATTAGACTGCAATTTCTCAACACTGAAAAATGTAAGTAGATCTAGAGTTTTTTACTTTAATCTTTTAAATAAACCCTTCTAATATAGTTATGTATTTAAACCTGCACGGAATTAGTGTTTTAAAACCTGTTATACTATCCACGTGACCAGGTCATGTGATTAATACAAAATGGCAGATAATATTTGGTAAAGGAAAATACTTTGATGTTTTCAGGTAAACAAGCCAGAATGAATTTGATTTTTGTAATGAAATTAAAACCATTTAATTCTATCAGTGTTTATCAGCTTAAAATATGATATGTTTATAGTTTTACATCTGAATTTATTGTGATAACTGCAAAAAAAATGCAAGTTAGTAAAAACTGACAAGCTACAATTAGCACTGCAGTGTTAAGCTCATACAATCTGTTCTGAGTATAAATAGGTAATTATGATTGATTATGAGTTATTTGCAAAATTCTGCTTTGTTACTAGACTTTTTAACAGTTACACCACTCATTGCAGTAGAGTGTATACGAAACTTTGTGTAAATTTAATTTGAAGTGTAACTTCGCATTAAACACAAATTACTTTACCCGACTGCAAAAATTGTTTTTATTTCATTTCAGACAGCAAATTTATGTCTAATTGGGAGAGCATTGTTCGCCATGTTATGTCTCACACTTTGTCTCAGGAAGTTGCCCTAGAATACAACTGGGTTGGAAAAGGCTCGAAAAAACCATTCGAAAAACTTAGCTATAGACTTAAAAAAGTCATATTAGGTTTGTATTTTTGCTTTTTCAAAGGTGATTTCACCGGTGCTAGAAAATTATTTTACACCGTGGGTGCAAGATGTGACTCTTGTGTTTTAATGATCATCATAACTCTATTTGTATTTTGACAGAATTATGCCCCTTTTTAACTTAAAAATTTTAGGTTAAAATTTTTAATTATGTCAAATATCTCTGTTACTATTAAATCTATTGACTTGTAATTTAAAATATTTCTTTACTATCAAAGTCTTATCCCCTTAGCTCTATTTGCATTTTGACAGATTTATGTGCTTTTTTACTAGTAAATTATAATAAGTAGTGTATATTTAAATAAAATCAGTAAACTGTATAAATTTCAGATGCTGTAAGAGGAAGAAGACAGGGGTCTACTAATAATGAAATCGAGAAGACAATGAAGGAGTGCCTAAGATATGCCAAGGATAGGGAAGGCGGGCGGAGGAAGAGATTGACTAAAAAGTTGCAACAACAAAGAGAAGAAAATGAAAATGATATGTGAACAACATTTAGTAATAAATTGTAGTAATTAGTATATATTTTGTTCTTTTATGAAAACAAGGCATTGGGCCAACAAAGGGCCAATGTTTATTGTAGGAAACCAGTCAGTGGGCCAACGGGGCCAACAAGAAGAAGGGAAACCCGTTGTTGGGCCAACAGAGGGCCAACGATAGGAAGGAAAACCAGTCATTGGGCCAATGGAGGGCCAACGATAAGAGTAGGAAAGCAGTCGTTGGGCCAACCATATACCAACCGTTGGCCCAACGTTGCCCCAATTAGCAAATTGACATTGGGCCAACGTTGGCATTATGTGTTGGGCCAACAAAGCAAATGTAATTGGCCCAACGTTGGGCCAACTACTGTCTGCTATCTGGGATGATTGTCAATATTGGGTAGAAGACCCCTATTGATTTTGGGGTCACAAGGTCAAAGGACCTTAATATTGTTAACGGTTTTACAACTGTCAAACTTCATAGGATGATCACTTATATTGAGTACATTAATAATGTGCCCTAAAAATTTTCTTATATTATGTTATACCCCTGGCGTCTTTCCGTCCATCCATGATAGCATTTTTACTTACAAGACAATATATATATGAAGGTTCTTCAGCTATAAAGGAGGATTGCTTTTTGAAGGAGGTAATACTTTATTTAATTTCCATGTCTTACAAATGCCTCATCCTTATTTAAAAAAACAAAACAAAACTTTCGGGCATATAATCCTCCGCCTAGCGGTGCTCTTGTTTAAATTTATGTTGTTTCTTTTTTCTACTAAGGTGGCTTTTCAATTTTACTTACAATTCAGGGTTCCATGAAGTATAATTATAATCATCGGTTGCAGCTATTACAGGGGTAATTGATTCCAATTTACAAAGTAAGATTTGCATTTGCAGGCCATCATACTCTAGCTGATCTGTTATACATGTACATGTATATAGTTTCAAGTACGTGGTTTGTTGAAACACGGGCAGCTGACAGCATTTTTGCCTTAAAAAAGTAACTTTTTTTTTAGTATGTCTTTATACTTTTTGTTTGTCTGGCCATGATGCAATCGAAATATCTCTGCTACTATCAATAATAACCTTTATTTTTTATTATTTTATTTTTTTTTGTATCGAATGTGTTGTAAATTTCTGCGAGAAAAATATGATTCAGTGTTATAAGCTCATTATTTCGCAGCTTTAATAGTCTCTATGTTAATATTTCAGTGTAAATGACCTGCTATTATCATTCAGTAAAATTTATAGGTTCAAAATATTTTTTTTTCAAGGACTTCGTTCACAGACATTTTTTAAAAATTATTATAACTTTTTCATTACCGAGATCCTAATCTATATTATAATCCTTTTCTTATGATCTTCTTCCAATTTTTTTACAATAATTAAAGTGCTCAAATGGTAAGAAAATATGCCCAGTGAGGAAACTGAAGAAAATTATTTTATTCAGGGTGTTGGATTATATCACTATATTTTTTTTTTCATTTCATTGACTACATCTTTGGCCTATAAAATTTTGATGTTCAATTAATCCTTAAAGGGCCTCCACTGAGGTTTTTTGACATGATGGGACAGAAAATATTTTTTCCAGATAATTGTACCATTTGATGTAGGTTTAGACCACTAATCTTTGGGCAAAATCTAAGCTCATTCGCCCAGAATAATTATTCAAATTGTGAAAAAAAGACCCAAAATGAAAAGTGTTTAAAGCGTCTATCTTTTCAACTTTTGAAATATCTAAATCATTTTTGTGATCTTGAAACATTGGATTTGGTTTAAGATACATGTACAAAATCATCATGATATCGAGATAGTTTTATCTTTTCCGTGTTTTTCCGCAATTTTCGCGGGATTTTCCGCGGAATAAAAATAAACTGCCGTTTGAAAGCTGTAAACGGTGTTACGGTAATTTTCTCCTGCATGACCGGCAAACTTTATTTTGTCTTAAATATTTAAAGTATTCTCCTTAAGATGGAATGTTTAATAGGTATCCAAGGTAGAGATTTTGTGCTAGTTGCCGCGGACACTGTTTCAGCTAGGAGCATTGTTTCTATGAAACAAGGTGATTGTTAAATTTATATATTTAATGATTTTTATGTCCCATTCCCCACCCACTCTTCTACTCTAAAACCAATTATAAATTTTTGCGTTTTTTATCTTGGAACCAAATTATTTCGGTCCCAGATTTATCTTACCGTCATAGTGATAGAATATCTCTAGTGTGACATTTTGGTAAGCTTTTTCTCTCTTATCTTGGACTGTTTTTATCGTTGCACACATTCACTTTTTTCACGTTTTCATCATTGAATGCAGTGTTTATTCTAGGAGGGGCGTTGGGGGGATTCACCCCTATTTTTGAGAATTCACCCGTATTTTTTGAGAGGAAGGGGGAAAATTTTACATAGACAAAGAAGGAAAAAGATCAACAAATGTAATAAATTCTCACTTTTCGATAACAATCCCCCCTGTTTTTCAAATTGTAGAATAGACACTGTGAATGTTTTGGGTCTTCCCAAAGATAACTAGACACTTCGATTTCGAGACGTTTCGGCCCCAAGACATATCGGCCCCAAATTACCCAAGACGTTTCGGCCCCAGACGTTTCGGCCCTTTACCAAATCGGCCCCAGAATAAGTACTGTGTTTTAAACCGGTATATTAAAATTGCATAGTTATAATAATCATAAATGACAATTTTCATGAAGGGGAATGCCAATTTCCATGTACCTTGAAAGATTTACAATACCTCTTATATATTTTACGTAAAATATTAAATATTTACCAAAACCATCAACGATTAGATACTTGTTGCATTTAATGTTAACTTCAATGTTTATAAATATCAAACAATTAATAGCTACTTGTAATTATTTCCTTGATATTGAAAAATCTAACACATTTAATTATCAGGTAAGGAAAGTTAGTTGTTCATGCATGTGAAAATCGAAACATTCGGTCATGTAATTTTACAATGAAAAGAAAACAGAAGCCATAATATCTATAATTCTTTTGTCACTGTCAACATTGTTTGATTAAACTAATTAAAAATATATAGCAGGTACTTAGCATTTATAATTTGGTTTCAGTCTTTCAATCACTTTTATAACATCTAGCATCTATCATTATCTAATAACAATAATAATTAAAAAATATTATCAGGAGACTATAGCAAACCGTTTAAAAAAAAATCTTTTGAAGTTTTCTCTGATATTACTTACATAAAGCTATAAACAATTAATTTGTTACACCTTGAAAAAAATACGTAGGCCTATAGTTTAATTAAGATAAAAAAATAATGTTTTCTAATTAACTTTCTTAATCAAGAAGTTTTAGTGGTTTGATTTATAAATCAAGGATTAACCTGCCTTTTTTGTTTGTTACACCTTTAAAAACATTAATGTATATCTAAATGGTTCAAGAGATCAAAAGATAATTAATAATTATTTAAAGAATTTAAGTGTCATAATTGTAATAAAATTAATTGTTGCTAATTAATTTAATTAATTGTCTGTACTATATAGTAGGGCCAAAACGTGTCGCGGAAAAGGGTCGAAACGTCCAGGGGCCCGATTTTTCCACTGGGGCCGATTTGGTTTGGGGCCGAAACGTCCTGTTTGCGACACTTCACCCCAGGCTTCTTACTCCTAAAATTTGTAGACAACTAACTCCTCAAGAGACTTCACAACCCACTAAAAAAACAACAACAAAAGAAAGAAAGAAAAACAACAAGATAGTAACTTCCCTATTTACACCTTAGTAAGTTAGTTAGCCTAATTAATTGAGCGTGAATGGTTTGACCCATTTAATAAAATGTTTTTTCCTACGTCTAATTTTTACACTCTGAAAATTTATTGTTGAATCGATTTAAACAGTTAACATGCTAAAACATCTTTCAGGTCTTTGTTTTACTTATCTCAATCAAAATTTTAGTCATTGACAGCTCTCTGAAGGCTAGTTCTATATATCAGACGTTACGGGCTTGTTCTAGTTCATGATGGTTTGCCGAAAAAGTTAAAATATCTCTAAGCAATGTCATATTTATAGGACTATAAACGTCATATTTATAGGACTATAGATCTGAACGCATACTAGCGGTTTATTTTAGAATTGTATTGTAAACTATTTCTTCGGTGGACATGTTATGACATCATCTTAAAAGATTCAATTCTGTGATAACTTTAAATGAAATGAATACGGTCCATCTGGTCGCATCCAGTCTCTAGATCAGAAAATACAAAGACTGTAAAATTTATTTTTAAAACATTTGAAACGAAAATGAAGTGTCTCAGTCAGATTTCATAATGAGTATTTTTAACATATGTGAGTACTGCCTAGTACTAAAAGATACTCCTAAGGGGCTAACCAGGAAGACAATAACCCTAACAGCTAAAATGTGCAAGATTTTTGTGTCGCCTCTACGGAGTAGTGGCGACATATAGGGATCACTTCTCCGTCGTCTGTCTGTCCGTCTGTCTGTCTGTCCGTGCGTCCTTCACAAAACTTGTCCGGACTACTCCTCATAAACTACTGGTGCAATTTCATCCAAACTTTACAGGAATGATCAGTACCAAGTCTAGTTGTGCATATTGTCAGCATTTTCCGGTTCAATGATTTTTGTTAGAGTTATGGCCCTTTAATAATTTTTAATTTTAAAGTTTGTCCGGACTACTTCTCTTATACCACTAATGCAATTTCAATGAAACTTTACAGGATTGATCTGTAGCTCAAGTCCTTGCGCATATTGCACGGGTTTTCCGGTTGAATGATTTTTGGCCGAGTTATGGCCCTTTGATAAAAAGGTTTCTTTTTCTGTGTGTTGCCAGATACACAGAAGCTTGTCCGGACTACTCCTCATAAACTACTGGTGCAAATTCATCCAAACTTTACAGGAATGATCAGTACCAAGTCTAGTTGTGCATATTGTCATCATTTTCCGGTTCAATGATTTTTGTTTGAGTTATGGCCCTTTTATAATTTTTATTTTTTAAGTTCGTCCGGACTACTTCTCTTATACCACTAATGCAATTTCAATGAAACTTTACAGGATTGATATGTTGCTCAAGTACTTGCGCATATTGCACGGGTTTTCCGGTTGAATGATTTTTGGCCAAGTTATGGCCCTTTGATAAAAAGGTGTTTTTTTTCTGTGTGTTGCCAGATACGCAAAAGCTTGTCCAGACTACTCCTCATAAACTACTGGTGCAATTTTATCCAAACTTTACAGGAATGATCAGTACCAAGTCTAGTTGTGCACTGTCCGTCTGTCTGTCTGTCTGTCACAAAATTTGTCCCAAAATGAAATTGGCCATCATGAGGCGACACATGTGATTACTGATCGCTCTTGTTTTTAAATTATAACCCTCTATATAACCCTTTGTGAACCTGAAACATTCCTGATTAAAGTTTCCTTTTTGCAATATCTATCACAACATTCACTGAAGGTAATATTATACTTAAAAAATCAATATCCAGACTTATTTTAGTTTCAAGCTCTGAGAAAAGTTAAGCAAACTCTCTGACTTACTCTTAACATGTATACTTAAGTGTAGAAAAATAGAACACAGAAAAGATGTTTTAGTTTGAAAATATATACAAATTTGACTACTAAATGTATTTCAGATTATGATAAGATGCACAAATTAAATGATAACATGCTAATGTTGGTGACTGGAGAATCAGGTGACACAGTTCAGTTTGCAGAGTATATTGGCAAAAATATACAGTTGTACAAAATGAGGAATGGTAAGGGCTTTAATTATATATATAAGTTCAGTCAAAAAGAGAACATCAGTTTTCATTAATTTACTGGTTTCAAAAAGTACACATTATACATTGCAGTTAAATGTTTATATTATGTATCGTGGGTAAGATGAGGATCCCTTGGAATTCACTTCTAATGAAAATTGGCCTGTACCTAACCTAAGTAAGTTACTTGGTGATGCAAAAACCCATATATAATAGTCAAAGGAAACCCCAGAATGATCATCTCCTATATGAAGAGATAGTCTTAAACTCGGCAAATATGAGTTTTTCTCATCTTATCCGTAGGTACAAACAAACAGTTATTAACAAATTGATAACTCTATTGTAACAGTAGTTCACCATGAATTTCTGATGTTAAAAGTTTGTTTTTTATTACATGCTTTTCGGTGGTTTATAGAAATATATCAGTGATATAAAACTGGTAATTTCACTGTTTGAAACAGTGAAATTACCACTTTGATAATTTCACTGTTTTGAATTTAAGCCCCTTACGTTGTTTCAGTGAAATACTAGCGTGCACAGTACTGGGTACCAGCTTAATGACGTGACGTCGTAAATGACGTCACGTTGTATTATTATTATTTGGCGCGCTTTTCATTCCGTATTAGGTTAAATGTCTTTTTTAAAACGTGTCTTTGCATGTAATAAAAAAAAATTTGTTTTAGTTTAGGTAAGATTGAAATATATTTCACCTTGTGAACACCAAAAGTTCATATTTCACTCGTGGCTGCGTCACTCGTGAAATATTCCTTTTGGTGCTCACTCGGTGAAATATATTCCGATCTTACACTGAACTAAACAAATATCCTCTATATCATTTCAAACTAAGCTCTTGAAATGTACTCACAAATTTTGTAGAAATATTTGTTAATATATTACAAAGGAAATTGTCACTTGAGACTCACATTATAAATAAATTTAGTAAGTTTGATATTGTCAATATTAAACTAAGATAAAAATTTATGGGTATGATGATATTCTTGGTGTGTATGAACTTTGAGAGTGTTTTAAAATGTATATAATTAATTGTTCAACTTCTATATTTTCTAGGTTATGAGTTGTCACCTAGTGCAGCTGCAAATTTTACCAGAAAGAATTTAGCAGATTACCTGAGGAGTCAGGTGAGTTGTGAACTGGTTTATGTAACAGTTTTATCTCTGTTACAATGTTATGGAATAAAAGAAGAAACATTCATTGCTATTCTTTGAAAACAGATTTTTTATGACACACAGCAAAAAACAAATGTTTACTATGTTGATTCTTTGAGATTATACATGAATTGAATTATTGATTTTTTTTATATAATCAATTAAGTATTTGATTTTAATTCAATCAACATACATGATATTTTTTTAGTGTAATTCAATCACCATACATAGTATTTTATTGTAATTCAATCACCATACATGGTACTTTTTATTGTAATTCAATCACCATACATGGTACTTTTTATTGTAATTCAGTCATCAACTCATCATGCATATTATCTTATTATGGTAGTCACAATATTATTGTAATTTAATCAAAGTACATGGTATGTTTATTATTATAATATAGACACCATACATGGTCAACTTGCTGTTGGCTGGCTATGACAAGGATGAAGGACCATCTCTTTACTACATGGATTATCTGGCATCTCTCAACAAACTACCATTTGCTGCTCATGGTTATGGGGCCTTGTTCACAATGAGTATAATGGATAGGCATTATTATGATGGTAATACATAATCTCTTCCTCACATTATCTTTCTTTCTCAGTTGAAAACATATTTCTAGTAAAATTCTGATAGTAGAATTTAGATAGTAATCATTTGTAAAAAAAGTTAACTCTTCCTTCATGAAATCTTGATTGAGTTGATAATGAAGGCAAGGATTGTTTGACTTACTGACGTCCTTTTTATTTTCTACACAAGTTAACATTCAATTATAGACTAAAATTGTTGCATACTGGTGAACATACATATGAAAATCTTGTATTGGTGTTTGACTATATATATTACATTATTATTTCAGATATAACATTGGAAGAAGCCATGGATCTCTTATCTAAATGTGTAAATGAGGTAATGAAATGTTACATTATGATGAAATAGTTGAAAATTGGTCAATGTTCAGTAACTCTTAATAGATAAAATATTAAATGTTGATAGAAGTTTTGATTTTTGTTGAAATACCTCAGAAAAAATCACCCTTAAAACATTTTTCATAGAGTACAAGTGGTAAATATTTGTTGGGTGGAAAAAAAGAAAACAGTTGTTTACAAGAGTGTTCATGTGGTTTAAAAAAAGTATAATTTTTTTTATATAATCATTAATCTATATGTATTGATAAATTTTATTATTCATGAAAACTATTGATAGACATCTTATTCACTAATTATTTTATAAAATTCTATTCCAATTAAATGCTATTCAACCAAGCAAATAATTGCTTACCAGTCAGTTTTCTGTAAAAAAAGCATGAGGCAACATATACATGTACTCCTGGATTGCTTTTTTATACTTTCCTGTTTTTTAAAGTGGAATGAATTAATAAATTGCTTAATGCTAATTGATATATATTTTTTATTTTTAGATTCGACAGAGGTTTATTGTAAACATGCCAACATTCAAAGTGCGCTGTATTGACAAGGATGGTATTAGAGATCTACCTAATATAGTTGCTACGACAACACCTTCATAACATATCACATCATAAATCGTCATTGATAAATCCTTTATTGTTATGGCACTCTCATTGCTATGTCCATATATAAAATTTCAAACAGTGAATTGGGCATTGCAAACTATCTCTTTTCAAGTGAAAGAAAAAAATATTTAATGATATTTTTTATGTGAATTAAGGAAAAGATATGTGCAATTTTAGTAATAAACTTCCCAATTTTTTTTTTGGTTTTACAGACATTTATATTTTTGATATTCTGTTTCAATACCAGAAAAACAACTTGAGCTTGAGATGTGTTTTACTAAATGACATTTTATATCAAACTTGGTAACAGCTATCATCTTTTCAAATTTAAACATCTGATTTATGTCTTAAAAGAAAACTTCTTGTTGAGGTTGGTATACAACTGGTGTAATAACTTGCATAGGGAACAATGTATGCAGATATAGTTAATGAATATGTCTGTATTACAAATTGATATACCAGTTGTGAAAATAATAGTGCTCTTTATTGTTTGTATGTGCTAAGAATTTCAATCTTCTAATAAATTATTTGAATTTTGATTTGTTTTACTTGTTTTATACCTCTTAAGACAAAGAGATTCTTTCTAAAGTAATCCCAGATTTGCCCATTTGGTATCATGACAAAAATGATACTGTACATTTTCATTATTTTACCCCCGAAACGAAGTTTGGGGGGTATATAATAGTCACGTGGTGGTCGGTCGGTCCACTTGCTGTCTGTTGCATTTTCTTTGTCCGAAGCATAACTTGAATACTAATGGTTGGAATTCAATACACTTCATACAATGGTCAAGCACATTGAGAGGAAGTGCAGTGCACAAGAACCATAACTCCATCTTGACTAATTACAGAGTAATTGCCCTTTGTTCTTTTTCCTTGTCTGGAGCATAACTTGAAAACTACGGGTTGGAATTCAAAACAACTTTACACAATGGTGAAGCACTATAAGGAGAAGTGCAGTGCATAAGAACCAGAACTCCATCTAAAGTAATTACAGAGTTATTGCCCTTTGTTACTTTTCCATTGTCTGGACCTTAACTTGAATACTAATGGTTGGATTTCAATACAACTTCATACAATGGTCAAGCACATTGAGAGGAAGTGCAGTGCACAAAAACCATAACTCCATCTTGACTAATTACAGAGTTATTGCCCTTTGTTGCTTTTCCTTGTCCGGAGCATAACTTGAAAACTACTGGTTGGAATTCAAAACAACTTAATACAATGGTCAAGCACAATAAGGGAAAGTGCAGTGCTTAAGAACCATAACTCTATTTAAAGTAATCACAGAGTTATTGCCCTTTGTTACTTTTCCATTGCTTTTTTTGTCCAGAACATAACTTGAAGACTAATGGTTGGAATTCAATACCATTTTATACAGTGATCAAGGACATTGAGAGACAGTGCAGTGCACAAGAACCATAACCATATTTGGACTAATTACAGTTATTGCCCTTTGTTACTTTTTTTGTCCAGTGCATAACTTGAAAACTAGTTGTTGGAATACAACTTTATACAATGGTCGAGCGCAATGAGAGGAAGTGCAGTGTACAAAACCCATAACTTCATCTTCAGTATTTGTAGGGTTATTGTCTTTTGTTCCTTTTCCTTGTCCGGTGCATAACTTAAAAACTAATGTTTAGAATTCAAGAAAACAACATTCAATGGTCAAGCACAATCAGAGGAAGTGCAGTGCTAAAAACACGTAACTCTTTTTGGACTATTTCCAGAGTAATTCAATAAAACTTCATCAATGTTCAACCACAAGGAAATGCAACATACAAGAACTCCAACTATCTTTAATTGCCCTCCACCATAACTCTATTTCAGTTCTTTTGCAAGGTATTCTGTTACTAGTAACTTCCTCATTTCGGAAGCAGTCTTGCGGGGGTATTAATCACATTTAGTAATAGTTCTAATTGGATGGTAGTTAAATTTTCAATAAAATCTGTGCTCTTCAGATAAAACCAGAAAGCATAAATGACTTTTGGTTTCTCGCTTCTAGGTCCAAGACAAAATTCTTCATTAAGTGAAAGAGGTCTGGAGGAAACAATGGCTCGTATCAAGGTTTTCGCTTTTCATTCGCCTAAATTTAGCACAATTTTGTATCAAAGCATGTATTTCAGTGATATTTTAGCTGGCAGTTTTTAACAAGATCTATTTTATCCAATACGATCACTTTCCTGAAAGTAACTGACAACTTCTGCATATTAATGTATAGTCATGCAGAATACATGTGAATGTTTTGTATTCTAGCTTACCATGATGAAACCTGATTTAGCCAATGTTTGATCTCTACATTTTAAAATACATAATGTTAATTTATGGATACTAGTAGTTGGTGGTACTATTAAGGTGCTCGTTTGTGCCTGAAATAATGTCCGAAAGGCACCCAAGGTCTTCCTCCATTAGTAAACCGAAAAAAAAATTATTGCACAATATAACAATAATGGGTCTATTGAAAACAAAATAAGATGTTAATATTGAATTTATTCATGTAGTGTACATCATATCATATACACACTTGAAATTCCAACAATAATAAAATTCCTGTACAGAAAACGATGCATTTACAACAGGGGTACCACAGAAATATTACATGTTAGTATGGTAACAATACGAAGTTTATGTAATGCACCTGACTAAACACCGCACCACTTGGGTGTTCATGTACTTTGTTATAGAATGTATGCTAATTTTCAACACTTATATTGTTTATCTATAGCTTACAAAGTTTGTTATCTTTTTTTAAAGAGATATAAATTAAGAAATCAAAACATTTATATTTTTATGAAAAGTCAAATATGCTAAAAAGATCCAAAACAAAGTATGTATAATTTAAATCACATTGGAATATATAAGCACAATGTATCAAATACTATCATGTCCCAGTTAACAGTTTTAGGAAACACTGAATACATACTTTACTTATAAATTTTGTTGTTATAAATTTTAACAAATTGTAAGAAACTTTTCATAGAGCAAAGAAATTATTCAACACTGTATCATTGTTGCTACTACTTTTTCGAATTTTAAACTTTTATTTATAAAAAAAAGTTTTCACAGACTTTCCATTATAAGATCAATGAAAATTTACTTCAACAATTGTATAAATAACTAAACAAAGTTCATTAATATTATTACTTTTCCTATACATTGTAAGTCTAAGAGATAACTTGACTTGTCAAGAAAGATGCCTACACAACATTTTTCTATTCCACACAACATTATTGTATCACACTATAGGCCTACTCGTCAACATAAACTTTAATAAATAAAATCTGTATCACTCACTGTATTATAACCTTCTAGCTCTTAAAAATACTAACATTAACAGAATAATTTTATATATACAAAATGTACCATAATTCAAAGTTTCATTTTTCTCACCAATCATACAAAAATATTCCCATGGAACAATTAGAATTAGAACAAGTAGAACTGAAAACCAGAAACATCATAATTCATTATATACAGGGATTTAAAAGCACTTATTGCAAGCAACAAAACTAGTAACAATTTTATAAATTTCATCCTGATTTCATATCACATCAACAACAAAATACTGTCCATATATTTACAGAACATCTGGAACATATTTTTCATTATTTTTGTGTGTGATATTCTAAGTAGCTTTGAAATACATGTACATTATACTTGGCAAATATTTATTAACACCCACCTCCGATACATATTCATCAATACATTGTACTCAAAGTCTTGGATTCATATTTTGACTTTAAAATACTATACATTTTTCTTATTGCAACTTAATGTTTCATGAAATTTAACACAGTTATATATATCTACATAATAAAATTTCTGCAATGTTTTATCTACAGACTCTTCTTAATTCATTACAGTAACATGCTCATTTTTTGTTTGTTTTCAAGTTGAGGAGAATTTGACAATTATTCCAGAAGATTCATTACTTTCTGCCTTAAATGTAAAGACTGCCCCATTCTTTTTATAAACTGAGTATTACCAATACATTCTGAAAGATATTTTTAGAAATATCTGTGTGCCATGTGGGTTATTGAATTTTCATTAAAAGTAGAAAATGAAATTAGAAACAAGTATGGCAAAATGTGAACTTTTAAAAAAAACTTTTTCTGTACTCTCACATTCACACTTAGATGGGCATACCGTCACTTATAGAAAGTGTTATAAAGCAAGCATCTAGGGAACTTTTTAACACTTCTTTTAATATAGACATCTCCTGTAAGATTTTTTTTATCACATGCGACCAAAATAATGTAAAATCAACCGGACTAATAGAGCTGTTTACATTGTGACATTTTTTCAAATAAAAAAAAATGTATGTAATATAAGAAATACTTAATGGTTGTATTACATTACAAACAAGCAACAACATTTTTGCTTATTTGACAAAGACAGTTTGAGAAGAATATAAATCATTCAAAAGTCTCCACTAAAATAATATTATCATCCCAGTATATAATAATTTGTGATTAATAATGTTAAATATTCCACAATTACTTCTAACATATCAAAATTTAAATAGCTTGTTAAACCTTACCTTGCTTGAAGCAAAAATAATTACCATTTACCACCAGTATAGGGCAAAGCCAGCATGCATATTTGTACAGTCTGACTAGACTCTATACTGTTGCTGATGGTTTACATTTAAATATTGAAATCCTTAAATCATGAATTCAAACAAGGGGCAAAACCATAACAAATTCAGCAGGTCATAGGTTAATTAATGCTGAACAAACCTCAATTTGTTAATTGATTAAATACATGTATATACATGTATATGATACAATATTTGAACACTATCAATGTTAAAAATGATGAGATAATGTATTAGTGATATTTTGTAAATTATTTTATATCTGTCAAAAAAGAAAACATTGTATTATCTTTATATACCTATTATTGGATGGCAGATCATATTTTTGCCATTATTATTCAAAATACACACAAATTACTCATACAGACTTTCAGGTAAAAACATTTATAGTTTAGAAATTGTCAACAGCCTTAAGAACTTTGTCAAAATATTAAAAATTCCCAAAAAAGATATTGAAACAGTATATAATACACGTCATTTCTCACAAAAAGAAGGGCAAACTTGATCACTCATTTACATCTTGATTTGTCACCAACATCCAACAATATTTTATGCATGAAACAAAAATATTTTTATGTTTCACTTTTAATGCTAAAGGCTTTCAAGGCTAATTTTTTTAAGTGCCAAAATAGTTTAACATTTTGCCTGATACCCATCTGTAAAATCTTTATTTGAACATATTTCAACAGAAATTGATGACAAATATAAATAATTCACAAAAAAGATTTGAAACAAAACTAACAAAAACAGAAGAATGAGGGATAGTTATCATGAGCATTTTATAAATTACAGAACTACTTTCATTACGTATATTACAATTCATGATTTCAAAATACAATATAATATTATAGCACTGGCATGAATCACATGGTATTATTTTATCATGTCACCAAATAAATTTTTTTTTTTTCATTATTTCAAGCACTTATTTCAGTTCACATAATTATTAGACAGAACAGAAAACACCGATACAGAAGTCTGATTCACTCGTGTAATTAAAATACAGCAAATAGAGGGGCATCTGAGGCTGAGGGACATCTGAGGCCCTTCTTCACCAGGATACAAATGCTATACCACCATTTGATCTTAATCATGTGACCATAATATGCAACAGGAATTGTACTAACTTTTCAATGAAGTCCATTGAGAAATGCCGGACACCACAAATCAAATAAAAAACTTGTCAATACGGATCTGGGAACTTGGCAACAATACATTTCTGTAAATTTTGTAAAAGTGGAAAAATTGTTATCACCCACCCAATGACATTTGCAAATCCAATAACCAATATTTTTCTTTAAAAAAAAACACGATTATAAATGTTGAAACAAATTGTCAAACCCCATAAAAAATATGTAAACTTTGTATCACTACCAAAGATTTTTAGAGTTCAAGTTAGGAAGATATCCTGTCCTATTGAGACATGTATGTTGAATGCTTATCCCTTTTTAACTATGAATATGTAAAACAACAATCTAAACTCAAACAATGCAGTAGTTCTAAGCAGGTAATATTTCTCAATGTTTCATAGAATCACATGTGTCTGTATTGACTCCTGTGACAACAAGGGAGACCACTTTTTGACCTATTGTTTTAACATTGTTATCTACCCCTGGTTCACATATAACAGTCTCCAGTATTTCATTAACATTCTCCTCTTGTAACATTGCACAGTATTTCTCCGCTGAAAAAAACACAAACACATTCTGAGTTAAGTTTTATCAAAGATTATACATTTTCATAAATAAGAAAAATATGAAATTGCAAAATTCTGAATATCTAAATAAATTTTGACTTTCCTTCAGAACTTCAGGTTCAGAGTACTCAAATCAAACCAAGTCGACAAGACTACATTGCTAAAACCTATTTCAAATTTTAACTTTTTTTAACAATTTGACCAGTCTCTACATATAATTCCATCTGATAAGGTTATAAATATTGTATACAGGTGTAAAGTTTGTAAAATTTGCAATGACCTCTAAACATATAATGACAAGGGATTCTTATTGATATTTTAATTAACAATTTTTTTTCTTTTCTTTATTCAAATTATCAAATGAAAATCATAAGTTTCAATAACATTTTAAGATGAAGGAGAAAATAAAAAGAAAATTTGTATACCATTTTTGGTACAGACATGTAGTATAGCCCACACTGCCCAAAGTTGTACAGCTGGCATGTCTCGTGACCTCAACAGAGGGACAAATGGACTGAACGACCTGTATGCAACCATCTCTCCTCGTGGTTGCTCCCACTTTAGCACCACATTATACTGTAAGTATGACAATTGTATGACAGAAGGATGTACAAATATATTTTTTAAAAAGTTATTAAAAGTTTTGTTAATGTGTATCAGTCAAGGAAACAATAAAGATTTGAACTCCTAGAGTAACTCATGAGACTTAAAGACCTAATGGACTGTGTCTTCTTAATTGTATAGTTATTTGTATCTCTCTCTTTGTAAACGCATGTCTTGGTATTCAAGTCTTTACTTTATTAACTTCAATTTATTTGAAAATTTATTTGTTTTGTACATTGGGGTTTGATATCCTAATTGAGATTTACATTTAGGTTTTAATTTCATTTTGTTTAACACAAAAAACAAAATTCCAGCTCCCCATCATTTTGAGCAACATGCATTATTCTTTATTTCATGAAATCATTAAAAGCTTATTAATAACTATGTAAACCACTAGAGCTCATAAGTTCTACTACTACATTAACAATTTATGCTCTACACCATTAAAAGTTCATCATATAAATTACATCATAAACCATTTAAAGCTCATTAGATCCATTAAATACAGTTGACTCTCGGTAACTCGAAATCCAAGGGACTGGGCATTTTACTTCGAGAGAAACAGAATTCGAGTAAGGTGGATCTGCCGCCATTTCGTTGACATTTGTAGATGTTTATACATGTGCCTGATTGAATGTACAAAGAAGTAGGTTTATTATTGTTGATAGCGGCAATGCTACAATATTTAACCGTTGAAATGACGGTAAATCACTTTCAACTACAAATTATGAACAAAAAAATATATTTAATACATTTATATTAATAGTGAAACATAAACACAAACATTCGTAGAAATGACATAAATGCAAGTTTGTCTGTATTCATCAGTAAAGCACACGTTTATAATAAAAACTCATGACATGTCATTACAATAAAAGCACAATAACACTTTTATTTCAACACCAATTTATCTAATATTTGAAGTGAATTGATCATCGGACGAAAAACGAAAGTAGCAACTATCGTGAACCGGAAGTACATATTAATGTATGCAATATGACGGAACATTAATTATACAAATGTCATTTACGTTGATAACACACATCAATACCTAGGCTGCTTTTTTTACTAACACCTGTCAGACTGGCACAAGTCTTAATTTTGTTATCTGTCAAAACCAATTAAGTCTTGAAACCAATTAAAGCCACTTTTACGACGTGTTAATAATACATGATGACCGGCAATTAAAATTTCTACGGAACGTGTGAATCACAAGAGACAACATCTCACCTTGATGTTGCCGACCTTTGATCAGTCTGCTGTTTTCACAATTCGACTAATTGAGATGAAAATATGTTGGATTTTAATTGACGGGACCAAATTTTCTTTTCGACTAAACAGGAGTCTCGGTAAGTCAAAATTTGACCTAAGCGGAGTTAAAATACAAAGATAAAGAAGGAATTTTGACGGGACTTTAGAAATACTTCGACTTACGCGGAATTTTGAGTAAAGCGATTTTGACTTATTGAGAGTCAACTGTACTGTATAAAAACTGTATAAAAGCTCATTAAATTTTTTTGTAACATACCAGTTCTTGTAGAATATCAGCTCTATCTGTTCCAGCAATGAGCCAATTCTGAGCTCCATCACTGGCAAGATGAGCAACTATCCCTGCAGCAAAATAGCTTACATCTATCTGCTCAGCTTGCAACAGACGTCTGTAAAATATTAATGTTCATGCTTATATTGAAACATTTTGATAACAAATCTAATCAAATAACTTAATTGAAAGAAGGTCTCTTGATGTAATGCCCTTACATGGTCTCAGGATCTTCCTTAACAGGAAAAGTAAAAAAGTTTCCAAATAATCATAAGGTGGTTACGTATGACTTTGAAACTTTTGAACAATATTTCAATGCATTAAACTAACAATCTCATAACAAGGTCGAGAGTTTTTTTTAACATTATATAAAAGGAGCCTATTAAAAGCCTCTTCCAATTGTCGTTTTCTTTAAAATCATGCAGATTTCCACAAAATTCCTTACTTAAACAAGGTTTTTACTTTTGCAAATTTGCAATTTAAGTGATAATTTTTTCCAAAATTAAGAGACTGAGGGCTTTTCCCAATAAAGAGAGAGTGGTCTGTAGACCTAGAATTGTCTGTCTACAGGTTACCGGTCATCAATTAGGTTTCATGATATTAGATTTAAAATATATTTACTAACTTGGCAATCATGAGAAAATCCTCCCTCATCAGAGCCTGCCTGAAAGACTTCACCTCAGCAATGTTATTCTGTAATATTAAAACCAGTGTATTTTCCTTTAAGGCACAATATGCTTCAGAAACCATGAAATTTTTACTTATTTAGAAAGGAAAGATATAAATTTTATTACATTTAAATAATTGTTTTAGAGCATGTAAGATGTTTGTAACCTGATAAAATTAGAGATTGATGTGAAATAATATGTCATTAAAGTAGCAAAATGTAAACAAAGTAGTATTTGAACTTACATATAAAATATCAAATAACTATTATTGTACTAACTGCCAAAGAGCAACAGATGAAACAGATGGTTCAGATAATTGGCCAATGAGTAACTTTTTGGAAACTTATAAAAGTACACCACTAATTAAAAGTTTTAGAAGTGTTTCTGAGGCATAATGGGCCTTTGATATAGGCAAACCAAAACATCACTCAGATTAATTAATTCAATTCATCAAGGAAAAAAGAATTCATCAATTCAATAAGTAATAAATTCAAGAATTTGTTGATATTACAGTGAATCATGATGCAAACTCAACTGTAATCATTTAACACTTGAAATCCCCCATCACTTGTCAATAAACACTCTATATTTTAATGCAAACAAGTTCACTTTAACCCTTTACCACATATATACGCGAAACAACGCACTTTCGACCCCCCCCCCTTTTTTTGGGGCCTCAAATAGTGAAAAAATGTCCTATTTGGGCCCTAAACATAAGTTTTCGTTTGAGAAATGTTGCTAAAAAAATTGAACACTTTTTCGGCGCCGCCCCCATCCAAAAGATACATCAGGGGGTTGCCAGAAGGGGGATGTGCCCCCTTCTGTTAGGGGGTTTTGAAGGGGGGCGGCAGTCCCCTCATCGCCAAGAAGATTTTGGACTTGTGAGAGGCTAAAAATGACCCCAGGTCGATCATAATGTAACGTTTAACCAACGCTGAAAAGCCTTTGACTCTATCTCAATCCCTTGAGAAGTTGCAGCACTTTGAAATAAATTTTGATGGAAAAAATCGAGGCAAAATAGTGATTTTTGGCAATTTTGAGATGTCCCCTCGTTGCCATGGTAACGGGAAATTTAAGACTGAGCATGTCGTTACAAAGGCAATGGTCAAGTCAACATTTGTGCCAAGTTTGATAAGTATTGAAGCATTTTTCATAGTTTCATAGCAGTTTGAACTTGTAACAGGAGACTTTTCAGTGAAAACGGCCATTTTTCACAATATGCTCATGGGGGAAAGGGTTAAGAGATTTATCTGAATAAAAAATCAATAAAAAAAAAAGAAGCAATCAAAAATTGGCATAAGAAGCGTAATCTTATTTTTCAATTGCTATATTTCATGTGTTAAAACATAACTTACTAAGAGTCCGAGTATTTTTGTTTCAACTTGTACTCTTGTATCAACTTCCATACTGCTGACAACTTGTAATGTTGTCATGAACAAATCTAGTCCACCTTCATTCAGGAACACTTTACAGGTGGCAGGGGATTCATCTGAAGTGAGACATACATTAACTTTTAGTTGAAACATTTAGTTAGGTCGTCACACTATATTGTTGTTCAGTTTCTTCCCAGTCTGCATATAGCATGGAAATGTCTAGATTCTGAACCAATACTTTGTTTTTCCAGAAGTAAAAGCTAAATTCTTCACATAGTTTTAGCATTAGAGGTCAAAGCAGTGTGAAACATAAACATCAAATTATCCAAAATATCACCATGATTGTGCCACTCTTAGAAGTAAACCACTATAGGCATTCCAACATAACCTCAGCTCTCTAACTTGAGAATTAGATATAAATGTAACTTACATATTCTTCCAAGAATCTAGGCTAATGAACATACACAAACTTTCTTCAATTACTTTAAGCAATGAATAAAATTCATTTGTACTGTAAATGAACTGGAACAATTAATGAACCTGGACAATTAATCATCCTCAAATTCATTCCCGAGTTGAAATTTTCCCATTTGATTCATTAAAAAATTGCCATTAGCCACTTATAATTTTGTCAAATCATCAACAGTTCAACAGCTTACCTGTTAGGTTCCACAGTGCACTAAGTGTAAACTTGAGTGTTATATCAACAATGTTGCTCTCTATTTTTTGTCGTACAAGTTGCAGCATTTTCTTCATGTACCGAGTCTTGGCACCAAGCTGAGATGTCTTCTGAGTAGATATCTAACATATAAACAAAGTTATTGTTGTTTTTTTCCCTTCTTTTTATGTTTCTTTGGATTTACTATAAGTTTAGAACAATTTGTCAGGAATAAACAGTTATCTACAGATCCAAACTCTGCTGAATATGTAAAATGGACTTACGCTGCTTTGAATCAGGAAATGCCCAATATCATTTTAAAGATTTCATATTGAAATATCTAAATCATCCAACAATACAATATAGAGTCTAATCAGCTGTGATTTCTCTATCCAATCCCAATTCTTAAAATATTTGCAGTTTAACAGTTATTGATTGCCAACTTCTGCAAAAGAGTTGCATATCAATAGTGTAAGTTGGAATCTGGGCATGGCTTCATTCAAATCTTTAAGGAGAAAAATATATAGCACCAATGAGTTTGACAAGCAAATCTACAGGTCTAATGATGACCTTACTGGGATTACTGAGCATATAGAAGTAAAAAAGAAATGATAACATGAAAAGAGATATCTATAATTAAATAATCGTTCATCTTTTACTGCATCCCTAGAAAACTACTCTTAGGAAATATTGGAAGTTCTTAAAATCTTGTTGACCTTTACTATAAAATAGTGTGAGGCATTGTAAATGACAAAAATAATCGTGTGAGGCATTGTAAATGACAAAAATAATCACTCCCAATTCTTTAAACAAGCCCTAGAGAAGTTCAAGAATGATGAAAATATCAGACACTGTAATCTAGATCTTATCCAATATAACGAAAAACAGAAACAGCAAAATGTCTTAACATTTTTTTCAAGATTGTTATTTGCCTTGATACACAAATCAATAAAATGCAATAAAGGAGATTTCTTGCATATCAGACAGAATTTTCTACCGTTTACACCGGTGCTAGAAAACTCTGTCTTACACCCCTCATGTAAGACAAGTTGCGTGCTTTTAATGAAATCATTTTAATGCGCCTTTTGAATGAATTATTTTTGAATGAATTGCGTTCTTAGGATGACGTCATTTTACTTTATGAATCAAGTTGTAATTTCATACGCTACTATAAGAAAAAGTTTTCATAATTTCTGATCTGGAAATAATTGATATGTAATATGCAAGAAAAAGAATCAAACACTGGCTGTCGGTACAGACGTGACTTCTAGCTCTCGGGTAACTGTTTAGCAGAAATCTTGGCAGAGCCTCGTTACCTTCTTAAACAGTTACTCTCGAGCTAGATATTCCGGTCTGTACCGGCAGCCAGTGTAAGATTCTTATAATCTTTAGTTTTTATACAAATTTATATTTTAGTTTGATTGCATTGGAAGCTATAAGCTTATTGAAGCATTTATGAATCCTTTCCTGGAAACAACGGCTTACCCCTGACAGGGTTTGAACCCATGCGCCCAGCAATCCTTAGATTACTAGTCTGATGTGTTAACCACTTAACACAATAATCCTAATGACAAAGTGACTTAAATATACATCATTCATTCTATAAGTTTCTGTTATGACAGTAATAAAGTCATATGCAGCTTATCAGCTTGGCTCCATACAGACTGACCTATGTATATTCATTTTGATTAACTTTGTATCTAAACTTATCAGTGTTTACACTACACATGGATCGTCCATCTTCTTATAAAAACTTGAAGACATTAGACATACTTTCATCAAATCAAGAATCATTCAGAACACAAAAGTCAAAAATATTCCAAGGTACTTATTAAGGTAACTGGGCAGACTATTTCTCCATACTGAGCTACCTGGGTAAACATGTCAATCAAGGAGCCTATAGTTACATGAACAATTGCCTTGACTTAACCCTTCAACTACTGGAATCAAAAGTGATTAGTTTTTATGCATGTTCTTGCACTGCTCACTGACTAACTTTAAATTTTCATCTTGACACCCCCAAAATTGATAATAGACTGTAAAATTGAATCTGGGCAAGTATGTTCAATAGATTCAGGAAAGTCAAGGTAATACAAAAGGAAAATATGTACTAACTTTTGCTGCTAGAATAGAGCAGATGGCAACAGACATCCTGTTCATGGAAGGGTCGTCAAACAAACATAAACATTCCATAACCAGTCGAGCACAACGATACCGGTCAAATTGCACGTCTTGTAAAATACGATCACTACATAATGTTAACAAAGCATTCTTCTGTAACTGTAATGAAAGGTAAATTCTTTATAATAAATTCATTAAGAGCTTGAATTTAAATGGCAATACATCTCGTTAAATGTTGATAAACAGAATATATTTTGTAATGATGTTCCATGGTAAAAATCTATTTCATACATGAAATAAATGTCAATAAATGTTTGTATATCTGATAAATAATAACATTCAGCATAATCAAGTATTTAATGGGCATACAAATTAAACTATCCTGTGTTTATGATATAAAACCTCTAGAACTTGTAAAATATTTCTTAAAGAAGAGAGTATGAAGAGAAATAATCAATATTTGTATTTACAATTTAGATGAATAATTTGTAAATTGTTATACTGTCTATAGACAGTGTGAGCCATGTTCCTTTAAAGGTCAAATTATTTTGAGCCATGTTTCTTTAAAGGTCAAATTATTTTGAGCCATGTTCCTTTCCAGGTCAAATTCTTCTGAGCCATGTTCCTTACGAGGTCAAGCTATTTCTCTAAAGTCTATGCCTGACTATCAAGAGGATATGTACAATAACAATCATTTTTTAAAAGATTACCTGTTGATGGTTGGGGAAATTTTCCATCGCTAACAGTGTCAGTTCTATAATCTCTTTCAGACATTGTGGATGTATTTTCTGGCCGAGTTCAGCTTTTGACAGGTTGTATAAACAGGCTGTAGCTGCCATCTGTACTCCTAGTGTTCGAGGATGTAACTTCATAGCTGGTAGCACTAACTAATATATAAAACAAACATTAACTTCATTAGTTCTAAGCACAGGCTAAATATACTTTTCTGGACAATTTTTATTTGATTGCTTACATGGTTTAGGTCATATGGCACCAAAAGAGGAAAGATTATTTTGTTAACCTCGGGTGTACAAAAAAACAGTTGTGAAGTTTTTATTACATACTTTTGCAAAAACTGTTGACAAGTTATATGACCATGTGGGAATGGTTCTTTGCACATAACCTAGCTGCTCAGGTTATATAGACTGTTAAAGGCCCATAATGGGTCATATATTCTGTCAAAATATCTCTATACCTTACATAATATACATAAATCTTACCTTAATTATATCTTCTCTAGGTATGTACATTTCTTGTGTTAAGCTGAACAGTGTGTACAGAGATTTCTGCATATAGAGATGCCGTGTAGTGTATCTCTTCAATGATTCAGTAACTTGTCTCTCATTTGCCTCTCCTGTCACCTGTAACATACAATATATTGTTCTTCTCTATTTTGGTTGTATTTAAGTATTATTAACTCTATCTAGGCCATATCATTATGGCAAATTTCCATCCTTCTTGATGAAGGAAGAACCTCCATTACTAGCATAGGGAGAAACAAACTGGAAGAGCCAAGACCTTTCAAATAAGCAAGCTGGATAGCATCCTATGGGTGGTGAAGGCTAGAGATTTTAAGTCAACTCACAAAAACTCTTTGCCAAAGTGGCTAACCTGTGATACACACCAGATGAGCAAGCCTTGCCGTAAGACTTTTTTTACCATAAACTGTTTTAAATTGCATTTATATAAACACTGTCGAGTGTTTTTGATAAACCACATGCGCATATGAAAAGAAGGTCGCTGACTTATGGTGACTATCAGTTATATCCTTATAACATTAGAGCCATAATGGCCCACCTGAATATTAAGGCTCTTAATTTAAATTGTTAGCAATGAATAAAAAGCAGGTAAATGTCATAATCTGAAACTGATATCATAATGTTCATATTTGCAGATGATCCATTTGAGCTAGAAATCATATAATAATCTTTCTGACTAATTTTCAAGATATTTGGGCTGAAAAAGATACGTATAGAGTGTTAACAATGATTTTTTCATATTATGGCTGCATGACCTGGTTTTTGACCCCAGGTTACCCATATTTAAACTTAAGCATTTACCATACTTTTTTTTTTGAAAAACATAAAGCAAGTTGAAAAATACAACATAAATTTCAGCTGATAACGGAGCTTTCATAAAAATGTACAGGGAGGAACGAAGAACAGTATCATTGACAGACAAAGTTCCCAGATATCCCTGTTTGTTTATTTCTCTAGGAAGATAGAAACTTAAAGAATTGCTACATCTTCAACAACCTTTCTTGTCTGGTCTTCCAACACAAACATTCTGACAAAAGTTTTGATTAAAGAGTTTATCATGTGACAGTCTTAGGAGCTTAAGAAAACATACAGGCTGTTTTTTTTCCCACAAATTATTTTAGCTTTTGAATTTGTATCATATCTATGATATAATCACCTCATCTGATAAAACTTTATCGCAAAAAAAATCATTTTAAGACTAGCCTGTGAGAATTTTATTAGTTATAAATCATTTTCTAATCCAGTTCCTATAGTAACCAGTAAAAGTGTCATATGAGGCTCAAACCCTTGCTCCCTTTACTGGGAGGCAGAACCATTTATCACTAGGTGAACACTCTCTATAAGAAAATTCACAGTGTAGTCTTCAATTTTATAAAGATATTACATACTTTAAAGTAAATTAGAAGACACTTTCTTCTACCTGATGTTTTTTGTAACTTTCTCAATATTAAAGAAAGTCACTCGTTTCTCTCAGGTTAAATGGTTCTATCTAGAAAATGCTGTCAGTGACAACAACCAGTGTTTGATTTTTTTTTCTTTTTCACTACATAAACATCATATAATATTTCTACTTATAGTATCATAGGAATATAAAACTTCATTTGCAATAGCAATCTGATACATGTATCATCCTTATTTGCACACAATTCATCCATAAAAGGCATGCCGTAAAGACATCAGATACACAGGTAGAACTTAAGATAAATCTAACTTGCCGTTTTAGGTTAACCCAATATGGACAAACCAACAGACAGCCGGACTGAAGGACAGACTTTTCAATTACTATATGCCTAGTGGCATAAAAAAATAAATTATAATGAAAATGTGAACCAGATCACTTGATGAACTCTTCCTTGAAAGTTTGGTTGAAAATAGATATATAAAGAGACGTTTCACAAAGAAAAAGATGCTGAGTCTGCCCTCAAACATTAACATACTATATTTTTTGAAAAAACATAAAACAAGATTGAAGTTAGAACATGAATTTCAGCGGATAACTGAGTTTTTGCTAAAAATGTACAGGGAGGAACGAAGAACAATATCATTGACAGACAAAGTTCCCAGATATCCCTGTTTGTTTATTTCTCTAGGAAGACAGAATCTTAAAGAATTGCTACATCTTCAACAATCTTTCTAGTCTGGTCTTCCAAAGGACATATTCTGACAAAAGTTTATATTAAAGAATTCATCATGAGACAGTCTTAGGAACTTTAGAAAACATACAGGCTGATTTTCTCAAAAATAATTTCTGTTTTGGATTTTTTTATCAAATCTATGGTATAATCACTTCATCTGATAAAACTTTATCACAAAAAAGGTTCAATTAAGACTAGCTTATGACAATTTTATTAGTTATAATCATTTTCCAATCCAGTTCCCACTTACGAACTTTCGCTATACGTATATGCAGTATTTCGATAGAGCGGAAGTCAGTGCGCGAGCATGCGCTTTGCCATATCTCGTTCAGTTACCGCTCACGTTTTAAACTCGGTTGCTATGAAGCGACCCTAAGTGTACATGGCTTTTACAAATAAAATATCAGACAAACACATTAAAACAATACACATAAACTACACATAGTTGTTTTCCATATTAATATTTTGCATTTGAAACTGATAGTCAAACAAATATCTCAATATTCTTACCGATTTAATGTATTGTTAACATGTGATGACAGCAACGCTGTGTGTTAGATTACTTTCGGTTCAGAAAATTCATTTGTTTACCATCAAAACTCATATGTTTACCATAGGAACCATATATAGATAGAAAGCAAATTAAACAAAGGTAAAGAAAAAATTGTCCGTTTCTGAATAAAAAATCGAATAAATAAATACAAAGTCTTTTTAAAAAGTCCCTTCTTTGAGTTCATTTGAAAGGGGAATAATTTGGTGGAATTTTAGACAGGGAAACAGGGAGTTATCTTTCATGGCTAGGGAATATGGCCGACTGAAACCATGCAAGCAAGTTTGTAAGTGGTTCCTATACTTACCAGTGTAAGTGCCATATAAGGCTCAAACCCTTGCCCCCTTTACTGAGAGGCAGAACCAATTATCACTAAGCCATCACTCTCTATCAGAAAATTCACAGTGTAGTCTTCAAATTTATAAAGATATTACATACTTCAAAGTAAATTAGAAGACACTTTCTTCTACCTGATGTTTTTTGTAACCTTCTCAATATTAAAGAAAGTCACTCGTTTCTCTCAGGTTAAATGGTTCTATCTACAAAATGTTGTCAGTGACAACAACCAGTGTTTGATTTTCTTTCTAGCATATTACATAACAAGGGTGCCATAGTCACAAAATACGCCCGTTTACGAAAAAGCTTTAGATGGAGATGGGGGCATTATGGATAAGTGTTATCTAGCAAGCAAGTTTTTATTCTTGGCACTGTGTTGTTAAATGAACCTTAAAACAAATCAATAGGGAAGATATGCACAGAATGTGTGACCTTGACCTTGGTCGCAGGGACCTGAATTTTATGCACGGCACTCAGCCTCATAATGATGAACATTTGTGCCAAATTATATTGAAATCCCTCTATGCATGTAGAAGTTTTGCTCCAGACAAGTGTTTTTCTATGAGCTCTAACTGTGACCTTCACCTTTGACCTAGAGACTTGGTTTATGTGCAGGGCACTACGTCTCATGGTGGTGAACAATTCTATAAAAAGTAACATTAAAATTCCTCCATGCATGTAGAAAATATGCTCCGGACAAACATCTGGATATTTAATCATCTCCAGTGACCTTGACGTTGCAAATATTAACCTAAATTAAATGTGTAACACCTGTAGTCATGATAGTTACCATTTGTGCTACAATCCATCAATAAATGATGACTAAATGGTCCCTAGAACCATCTTCAAATTTTTATCTGAACTTTGACCTCTATGTGTAACCTTGACTTTGGTCGCAGGGATCTGAATTTTGCATGCGACACTCAGCCTCACAATGGTGAACATTTGTGCCAAGTTATATTGAAAACCCCCTATGAATGTAGAAGTTTTGCTCCGGACAAGCGTTTTTCAATGAGCTCTAAGCGTGACCTTGACCTTTGACCTGGAGACCTGGATCATGCATGGAGCAATACATATCATGGTGGTGAACATTTCCATAAAGTATTATAAAAATTCTTCCATACATGTAGGAGATATGCTCCAGACAAAATCTGGATATTTCACCATCTTTAGTGACCTTGACCTTGCATATATTGACCTAAAGTACATGTTGTCAGACAGCCGTAGTCATTATAATGACCATTTGTTTACAATCCTCAATATATGATGATTAAATCGTCCCTATACACATCTTCATATTTTTATCTTTTTTTAAACGGGCGTACAAAAAGTACATGTAATTTAATAACTAAAAAATTCTGATTTAAGATTTTATTTCTAGGGAAATACATTTCATTACAATTCTTAATCTTTGAATGAGCTGAACTGATATTTACTTGAAAATTAAAATATAATTAAATTTCTATGAGAAAGTATTTACATTTGATAAGGTAATTACTGTATGATCTTTATGAACAAATACCAAGTCTACAGAACACCATAGTTATCACAGTTAAGAATCTTGACCAATGAATGAAACATGTGTAAATAAATGTTACATTCTTTAGAACATACTCAAGTCCAAGAAAGAGGATTATTTCATGCCCTTTGATTAAATTCTATTTTTTAGAATTGAAAGTGAAAATAGATCAAGGGGAGTAATTGTGCAAGTCATTTATGAACAAAGTAATAACTTTGTTGTCTCCCTTTGATTAAATTCTATTTACAAAATCTGGATATTTCATCATCTTTAGTGACCTTGACCTTGTATATATTGACCTAAATTATATGTATCACAGCCATAGTCTTGATAATGACCATTTGTGTTACAATCCCTCAATAAATGATGACTAAATGGTCCATATACACATCTTCATATTTTTATCTGAACTTTGACCTCTATATGTGACCTTGACCTTGGCCGCAAGGACCTGAATCTTGCACGCGACACCTGCCTCACAATGGTGAACATTTGTGCCAAGTTATATTGAAATCCCTCTATACATGTGGAAGTTTTGCTCCGGACAAGCATTTTTCAATGA